AGGATCTATCAATTACTTTAATTTGTATCAAAGCAAATTTATTATCTCTCAACCCTTTGACCTTTTTCTTTAGTGTTTTTTTTTTTTAAGATGTGGGTCTTGCTACATTACCCAGGCTGGTCTCAAACTCCTAATCAATCCTCCTGCCTCAGCCTCCCAAGTAGCTGAGACTACGGCCACATGCCACCCTGCAGAGCTTCTTTCTCGGTTCTTATTCTGTTTAGCTCTTAACATCATCACTGAGTCCCAGGAAATCCATTACTATATATCTTTAACTCCTTATCTCCTAACATTGCCACAGTACCTACAATGGTTCAGGCCTTCATTACCATAACATTCCTCCCAGCTTTGTGGCTTTTTAAACTAGGCTGGATCAACTAATTTATTCATGCACTATGTTAGACATCGGGAAATACCAATAAGAGAGGTTTAATTTCAGGTTCTCTGCCTATAAAGACCTCATCTTAGTGCAAACTAATTAGAGGATTGTTTAAATAAATTAGAGTACATTCAGTACAGTGGACCATCTTGCAACCATTAAAGAAGATGAGATAGCTCTGTATGTCAATTGCCAACACATATTAAGGAGAAATGCATGTTGTGGAGCAGTATATCAAGGTCCTACAGATGACAGTTTGTCTAGGTAGAGAAAGTTCTGGAAAGCTGTACACCAAACCATAGCAGTGTCTCTGGTGGAGAGACAATGTATTTTAATCTTAATAAAAAGGTTATCAAGTTAAATGTGATGTGACAGGTGAGAAAGGAAGATAACGTAATGTGATTAACTCTGCCCAAGTTAGGAAAATCTTAGAAAATGTTGTCCCTTGGGCACAGAAACAGACACCACAATCATAGCAAACAGCAGGTTCAATGGGACCAGTTCTTAAAGAGTATAGTGTGTCTGGGAACAGCAGGTTGGGTGCTGGAGGGTGGTCTCAAGGGGACAGCAAGATTCAGGATTGAGGTGAGATGTGGTCAGACCTTAGGGGCTTCCACTAGTTGTAAGTATGGAACTGGCCTAGTCAGTGGGGAGCCTCTGGAGGTTGATTTTTAAAAAAATACGTTTTCCATTTTGGAGTAATTTTAGATTTACAGAAAAGTCACAAAGATAGCACAGAGAGTTCTTGTATAAACTCTCACCCAATTTGTCTCCTTTAATGTTATCCTACATTATCACGCTACATTTACCAAAACTAAGAAACCAACATTGCTAAATTACTATTAAGTAAACTCCAGTCTTTATTCAGATTTCATCAGTTTTTCCATTAATGTGCTTCTTCTGTTGCGGCAGCCAATCCAGGATCCCACGTAACCTTTAGTTGTCATGGTCTCTTCACTCTCCTCTGTTCTGAGTTTCTCACTTTCCTTGTTTTTCATGACCTTGACAGTTTTGAGGAGTGCTGATCAGAAAGTCAATAGAATGTTCCTCAAGTTGGGTTTGTCTGATGTATTCTCATGATTACACTAAAAGGTTTTCGGAAAAAATACCAGAGAGGTGAAGTGCCCTTATCACATCACTTTAGAGACACATATCACTGCTGATGTTACCCTGATCACTTCATGAAGGTGTTTGCCAGGTTTCTCCACTGTAAGATTCCCAGCAAGTTTTCCCCTTTCGTACTTCTCAAGCTTTTAAGCTTTACATTATATTACAATTGATGTTTAATGCAATTCTCTCGGAAGGCCAGTTATATAGCTACGGTTGTTGAAAAATAATTCAAATGAGAGACGACAATCACTAGAACTTTCAGTGGTATGAGAGTGAAAAGGACTGGAGGTATTCAAGTGATTCTGGGCAACCAGTAGCTTTAAAAGAAACAGGGAAGACCAAAACCACAGTGACATACCACTTCATACCCTATTAGGGAAGTTATGATGAAAAAGTCAAAAATAACAAGTGTTGATGAGGATGTGGAGAAATTAATATCCATATACACTGCTGGTGGGAATGTAAAATGGTTCAGTCACTTTGGAAAACAGTCAGGTAGTTCCCCAGAAAGTTAAATGTATTTACTAGTTGACACAGCAATTTCACTCCTAGGTATATACCCAAGAAATGAAAACGTGTACACACAAAAATGTACACATATATGTCCTTAATAGCATTATTCATTATAACCAAGCAGCAGAAACCACCCAAATGTCCACCAGCTGATGAACAAATAAACAAAATGTGGTATATCTGTACAACGTAATATTACTCAGCCTTAAAAAGGGATGAAACACTGATACATGCTACAACATGGATGTACTTTGAAAACATTCTCAGTGAAAGAAGCCAGTCACAAAAGACCACATACTGTATGATTCCACTTACGTGACAGGTGTAGAATGGAGACAAGTCAAGTCTAGAGACAGAAAGTAGATTAGTGGTTGCTTGAGGCTTGGTGAGTGGGTGGTGATGGTGAAGGGACTGGGCTAGTATAGGTAAACAGTACAAGGTTTCCTTTTGGGGTTATGAAATGTTTTAAAATCGATTATGGTAATGGTTGTACAACCCTGAGTACAATAAAAGCTACTGAATTAAGCACACTTGAATTAAGTGAATTATATATGTGGATTATATCTCAATAAAATTATTACCCCCAAAATCTGTAACACATGGTAGGGGAGCTATACTTGTTCAAACTACACTCATTCAGATTGAAGTGCTGGTAGGACATCCAGGTGTAGATGTCAAGCAGCTCAGAAATGAGGTTGGGGCTACAGACATGGCACCATAAATCATTAGCACAAATAATTTACTCGATAGAAAATAAGGTACTCAATTCATTCAGTCCAATTTGCTAAACATGGTAGCTCAAGAGAAGGTTTCAAGCAGGACACCTTCAACATTTAATAGCACCAAATTTTTAAGAGCTTAACACAGAATTCAGTCCTCATTCCTCTGGCATTCAAGACAACATTGTGTTATTGAGGTTGGCTGATGTCCCTCCTCATTTTCAACTACAGTCGTGTGTCGCTTAACTTCGGGGATACGTTCTGAGACATGCATCGTTAGGTAATTTTGTCTTTGTGCGAACATATCATAGAGTGTACTTACACAAACCCAGATGGCATAGCCTACTACACACCTAGGCTATGTGGTATATAGCTTACTGCTCCTAGGCTACAAACCTGTACTGCATGTTACTGTATTGTAGGCAATTGTAATACAATGGTAAGTATTTATGTATCCAAACATATGTAAACATAGAGAAGGTACAGTAAAAATATAGCATAAAAGATAAAAAATAATACACCTGTATAGGGCACTTACTGTGAATGGAGCTTGAGACTGGAAGTTGCTCCGCATGAGTGAGCGAGCGAGTGGTGAGTAAAGTGAAAGCCCAGGACGTCACTGTACACCACTGCAGACTTTATAAACACTGCACACTTAGGCTACACTAAATTTATAAACATATTTTTCTCTCAATAATAAATTAACCTCACTATAGCTTTTTACTTTACAAACTCTTAAATTTTTTTTAACTTTTTGACTCTTTTGTAATAATACTTAGCTTAAAACACTGTACAGCTTTATAAAAACATTTTCTTTACATATTTTATGAGCTTTTTCTACTTTTTATTTTAAAAACTTTTTGTTTTTACTTTTTAACTTTTTTGTTAAAAACTAAGACACAAACACATACATTAGCTTAGGTCTATACAGGAGGAGGATCATCAATATCACTGTCTTCCACCTCCACACCTTGGCCCACTAGAAGGTCTTCAGACACAATAACACACATGGAGTTGTCACTCCTGTGATCACAATGCCTTCTTCTGGAATACCTCCTGAAAGGACTGCCTGAGGCTATTTTACAGTTAAATTTTTTTTTGTATAAGTAAGGGTATAAGTAAGGACAAAAAGTATAGTGTAGTAAATAGATAAACCGGTAACATGGTTATTATCATGATCGAGTATTACGTACTATACATAATTGCATGTGCTATTAAAACATAGGTTTGTTTATACCAGCATCACCACAAACATGTGAGTAATGTGTTGTGCTATGATGGCTACATCACTAGGCGACAGGAATTTTTCAGCTCCATTATAATCTTATGGGACCACTGTTATATATGCAGACTGCTGGTGGCTGAAGTGACTGTGCGGCACATATCTGTGTAATTGTCTTCACTTCATATGATAAAATGCTTTACCATAAGAGGCTACAGCAAAGTCCTTTAAGTAATCTGCAGTGTATTTGGGGATGATAAAAGTTGAAATTTAAGATTGCACCAATTTAAAATAAATATTTTTGGTATAGTTCACAATCTAAGTAGATTTGGAATTATTTTATTTCCTCACTGTAGAGAACAGGTCAAGCCATATAACCCAACTAGCCACAAAGGTCATCACAGTTACTCTGCACCATCCTATCCTGCCACTCCCTCCCTGCTCACTCCCAACATTACTTGGGGGTAGACGGGATTCCATACCAAGGAGGATGATAGTTGAAAGGAAGAAAAAAAATTCAAATGATTCCACCAACTCTTTCAATGATCATGTATTCCTTATTTGGCAATAGTATTAACAAATGCTCAGTTTTATAATCCAGAAAAACAGCTACTTCATAAATTACAGAAGATATAGGGTTCTGTTTGTCTTTTTAATTCATCAAATTCACTTTTTAAGTAGAGTATCAATGAAGTAATTAACATGGTATATAGTTTGGGAGATGGAGAATAAATCCTTAACAGAGCTGGCTCCTGGTTTCATTTGGTAGGTCTAAGTCTTGACCTTATAGCTATGAAATTCCAAGTTTGTGCTTGAATACATGACTAAAAGAATAAAAATGAAATGACCAACAGTATGTACCATTTTAATTTTTATTAATAAAATAGAAACCTAAACTCAGACAACTGTTTTGTTCTTGCATCTAATCTGACCATATTTTGGAGAATTCTTTGTAAGAGGATTTAGGTGTTCTATCAAAAACTGTAGATTATAATATCTAAATTAGGTAAATAAACTTTTAAAAAGAGAAAATTAAATACTAGGAATCACAGAAATCTCTCCCTCAAATAAGAGAGGCCTCCCTATAGTCTTCGATGTAGCTCATTTGCAATCATAAGAAAATTCACAAGATCAATCATATTGCACAACCCCTAAAGGAAAAAACTGAGGGAACTCATGGATAATTTTCACAGCTTCATTGTAAAGTCCAAGATCTGAAAGAAACATTTAAGCAAACATTTAATCTACAGAGGAAAGCTGCAGCATCAATTATTATATAAAAGATTTCCTCCTATTTCTTTTTTCTCTTTCTTTTAGAGAGACCAATAGAGGCCAACTTATTTTCACAATCCAATTTCTAAAACTAAGATATGGATCATCATATTTACCTAACTGTGGCTCCAATAAAAAAAAACATGGGAGACAGGAAACCATCCATTTTGATGTGTATTATACAGGCACAGTTTCCATCTGGTCATGTTTTACATGCTATGCGTTGTACTATGTCTTCAAATATATTACAATAAAACAAAACAAGTAATATTATTTTTGCTTGCCATATTTTAAAATTTTCTCTATCCACAAATATTAATCAATCTTTACTGAGTCTCTTAGATATACAAGCACTACTTAGAAGCAGGCCAAAATGTACTACCATTTTGCTTTGGGATCAGAAAATTATATAGAAATTAAAAATATGGCAGAACTGAGACTCAAGACCAACACATATCAGTTTGAGAATAAAGTTTAAGAATAAAATTGTTTTCCTAATTACATAAAGACCACTAAATACTGGAATACTTTATTTACCAAAAGGATGGTTATCTTCTCTAAACTGGACATAAGATGCACACATGATTGTTGCTTTGGCTGTTACTCTTCCAACTACTTCCACAATTCCAGAGATTTCTTCATCAAGCTAAGACACAGAACAAATTGTCATTTTGATGTTATCACATTTTATCAAATATGATACCATTTGATAATTAATTTGGAAAAATATTATACAGTTCACTATTCTTTCATTTCATGTAACAAAGTAATTTTAAAATTTACCAATGCAAAGATTGAAAAATCACTTGTAAAAAATATTTGAGTACTTAACTTTCAGCACTTCACCAGTCCTGCTACTTTAAGTGTAGCTTCAAGTCCAAAGACAGTTTTGTTTAGAAGAATATATTGAGAGGGACCTTCTATAATCTATATTTCAAAAAGTGTGTTTTGTATACATTAACCAAACAGCATATGAATTTAGCTTCATGAAAGAACATGAAAATGTTTTTAGGTATATTAAACATAAAATGCAAAAATTAAGTAAAAACTGAAATTATATACATTTTTAAC